CAAAGTAAAAAACATTTTCATTTAAAATTTCACATGTTACCCACGTCACACAAGTTTTTATAACAACTGAGCTAGATTTAGCTAAATTGCGTAGTACGTATGGTCCCCTGAAATATTAATTGTTTGATGTTTTTAGTATGTTACTGATGAGAATACTAATAATTTGAGAAACGGTCTTACTACCGCAGCGTTGGCGATACAAATTTGTGACAGACGACAGACAGATAAAGACGGTTAAATAGTGGGGTTATGCTATAAGCGGATGGATGGGGGGGGGGGGTAGATAATAATTAATGAAAATTGCAAAGGATTATTTAAATAACATAGTTTAATTTAATATTAAAGACACTAAAACCTAACAATATTTCAGTGGAAGCCATTTCGGAACGCCAACCGTGGTATTATCTTCTTTATATTCGCGATTCGTGCCAACGACTGGCTGTACTGGAAAATGAATGCAGTGTCATCGTGGACTGCTGAAAAATGCGATGCTATTAGGAAGGTGCCACGCCGCTGTCTGAAGACAATTCCCTGAACTGTGTGATGCGGTTTTTAATCATTTCTCTACTAATGTTATAAAGGGGAGAACTTGTGATGTTTTGCTTTGTTGGTATCTTAAGCGAAAACTACTGAATTAATTTTAATGAAACTTCTAACTGGTACATTTGTAATGGGGAATTGAAAGAAGCGTAACCTTCTTACTGCTACGTGAACACGAAAAGAACGTTAGTGTTGCAACTGTCAACAATTTATTTATTTTAAATGTATACAATATCTTATTTCGACGTAACCAGTGCCAAGCTAACATTTGACAGGGAAAACCTGAATTGTAAACTCCATAAGTAATCCATATACTTAGGCAAATCAATTTTATTATTGTGTTATTTAAAAACCAGTAGTCACACATCCTTACAGAATAATAACTCTAACACGAGAAGGAATTACAATAATATTTTTTAGCTATTTTTGTTATGATAATTGTAACAAGTGTAACCTATATGTTACTTACAAATATTTTATAATCTTAGAAAACTTCTTAATACAATATTAAATGGTTTTCACCTCCAACATTAATATAAAACATTATAACTAAAACACCTAATATAATACTGGTCTTGCCTCACCCAAAAGTATCGTGTTTTTCGCCCCCAATGAAAAAGCCCTGAAAAAACTTAGTAATACGACAACAGTTCTCAAATTCGCGCGGCAATTACTGCCAATTTTTTTTCAGCAGCCTGTGCCAACTGCGAAATGTCATGTTGGCGGTGTGTTGGCGGCTTGTAATTAAATCCTTGCTTGCCAAGTCCGAAACTTGACATATGCTGAAACAAGCCTGATAATTAGGGTGTTATTGAGATAAATTTGCTGCTATTATACTGGTGAAGTTAAATACCTTTCAAATACCAATTTGCTTTTAATTTAAAATGGCGAATATAAAGTACCTGAATTTACTACCTGTCGATATTCTGTCCACAGATAAAAAATCCGTTATAAAAGAATTCGTGTTTCAATTTCAGTCTGTCGTCAGAACATCTATAATAAGGTAAGAGCTCATCTTGTTGTATTTATTTATTACTTTTAGACCAACAAAGTCAACTACATGTAATTATAAACTGACTTTAAACAATATTTGTCTACCCTCCTTATTATTAAAAAGGTTTAATATGTCTATACTAGAGAATTATGATCCTAATACTAGTAATAACAACCGCGCACGTTTCTTTATAGAATCCAATTTAACTCAACAACAATACGCGTGATAAATAACTGTTTTAATTAAACTCATAACATCTTATTGCGGTGCACATTGCTGTGCGCTGGACATGTGAAACAGATTAAAAATATAAATTTAAAGTTTATAAAAGCGTAGATGATTTTACTTGGAAAACCAGTCGTTTATAGTATACGTTGCTATTATCAATATGATAATTATTATCTGTGACAATGTTGACATTTGGTAAAGACAAACAATATTATTAAATTTACCACAGATTTAATTTATGATGTCTATCACGACGTATATGTGATGGTGTCTATGGAATTTTTATAAATTCTAAACTTTTTTACACTTTTCAAATTCTTTTAAAAGCTGTAATAAAAAGTAGAACTATTCGCCCGAGTTTCGTTCTGCAAAGCATCCAAAGGTCTGTACAAGTATAAAATCATGTTCAAATAGTTTTTAACTAATATATCGCGTTTTAAACCGTTAAAGTGTTTTATTTAAATGTACTACTCGGTAAACTATAGACATTAGAAGGCATTTGTCATTTCGTATTTTAATTTATTACATTATTTAGTTCATATGTTTATAATAATTAGTAACTTTTGCTGAAACAAACGCTAATATTTTAAAAACTTATATTGTACATTGGTGCTATGAATATTTCGCTACTGCACATTAAGAAATTAGCCATAAACCGTGGCACAGTAAAAAAACGCCTAATTTTTACATACGATTATATTACTATATATTTGTAATTTTAACAGATCATTTAATATAGATAACTACTTCAGAAAATAGCCATGGGTGAATCTACTTACAGCCAAAAAAAAAGAGATTAGATTAGAAAGTTCGATAAGTTTACACGCGATAACTTGAACTAATCTAACATGGAAGGGAAGAGATTAGCGTTGTAACGCATTACGCACCTAAGTACATAACTTAACGTACCTACTCTTCAACAGAAAGTTTTTTTTTTATTTCTGACATAGCGGCAGAGGCACGCAGGGTGGTCACCTGTTGCAATGGGAAATAGTAACCCAAAAAAAGAGAGCGATTCGGATATTCACAAACTGAAACTGAAAAGACGGTTTAAACCTCGAAACATTTTCCTATTTAATGTCTCATACATTTGGGACGGAATTATACTGTCTAGATATTAGTCTTTAGAAAAAAATTAAATTATTTTGAAATCAGTTGAAGCCGGTGAGAATTATAATGTTTTTTATGTAAGTACTGTCTATAGTTTACGCGAGTAGTACACATTTAAATAAAACACTTTAACAGTTTAAAACGCGATATATTAGTTAAGCTTATTTGTAAATGATTTTTAACTTCGACACGGGGAGACTCGGAGGTCACCACGGTTTAAACCGTTCAATTGTTTTATTTAAATGTCTTTTACTTTTGAAAACTTTAATATTTTTTTGCATTTTATTGCACATGAAGGCACTATATAATTTAAAAATCGAAGATAAATTGAAAAACTTTTCGACTCGGGCAGGACTTGCTCTACTAATTGAGCTCCCGAATCCAACAGCACGGAACGCTGACGATGCCGGTTCAAGTCCTGCTGGAGTCGAAATTTTTTCAATTTATTTTGGATTTTTAAGTTAATTATAAATTACATTTAAAATAGATTGATTTCACGACAAGATGTGCCCAAATTGGGTTGGGACAATATCTCCAGAGCATTAATCAAGCGAGACCATTAAGGGAAAACAAAAGACTTCTAATCAATATCATTTGTAACTTTGACTGACTTTGAATTCAAAATGGAACTCGAAAACTTTATAATTACTCAGCGTGACAGACCTTTTAACAAACAAAAGACTTAATTATGTCAGATTATTGAAGTTACTAGCTGACTTGGCAAATGATCTTTGCCATATGAAGTACTAGCTGTGTGACTGTAGTGACATGGTGTAGAATTTTTAATTATTTAGGCTGTTTATTAATTTATGTAAGGGCGCATTTAAGGCAGCTAATCTATGTTGTTAGTGTTACTTTGCCGCAACACTCTCACCTATCACTCCTACTTTAACTCCCACTCTCATTCCTCACTCACTCCCACTCCTACTCCTATTCCAAAAAGCCAAAGAAGAATGTTTCATTGTTCTAGCTTCAAAAACAATGAATTTCCATACAAACTGGGATCCCCCTTTGAACCCCTAACAACCCTTTTTGGTATTAAAAAGCTTATGTCCTTTCTCAGGCTCAAAAATGTCTCTGAATACCAAATTTCATTTAAATCAGTTCAGTAGTTTCGGCGTTTAAGCCGGACAGACAGACAGACAGAATTACTTTCGCATTTATAATATTATTACAGACTTCGACGAAATTCGATTCCCATAAAAACTTCTTGTGATTAATCTTAAAAGATAGACACTGTCGTAGATATTGAAAGTAATAATATAACGATATTTTTTGACAACCTTGAACCGTTTTCGCAGCGCATGAAACGGAAACCCTCAAAAGATGAATATTTTTCCATTTCCAATTCCCTCTCCTTATTGGCCCCTATTGAGCTCTACCTAATTTATAGATTCCTAGACAAATGGTCTATGTAAAAAGATTTTTTCAATTCATACTAATAGTTACTGACATAAGTGCGTCAAACAAACCAAATAAAATGAAAGAGCATGTATTTTTAATAATATAATAACGTACATCAAACATAATTGTTACAACTTAATTCACAATAAAGTTTACTATTATCACAATTTTAAACTCAACCTCAAATAAAAATAATTTTTTTCATTGTCCTTCCGTCAATAATATTCCAACTTCCTGTACTCAGTCTAAATGACACACCTCTTTCGTTCACAATGAGATTTTGTTCATCTATCCATCAATACCTTGTGTCCCTTTCTTTTTTTATATCACAATAAAGAATATTAGCATTTCTTCATAATACGGACGCTTGGCAGCATTTAAGTGGTACCATCATATCACGCTTCGTATCATTTGGTTTCATAGAATATGATCCAAGAACAAGGTCCTTCAATGCACTGGATTGCCAAGAATGCTGCTATGGTCTAAGCGGCGTGAAGTCGCATACCTAAGTCACGTCAGGAGGCAGTATCGGTCACGTTTACCATGACTGATACTGCCTCCTCCAGCATATTATGATGGGAAAATCCAAGGCAGAAGACGTTGGTGGTGGGAGGACATAACGGCTACGGAACATCAGTGGGAGGGGGCTGGGGAAAGGGTAGTTTTTGTAGTTAGGTAATCTTCAGTTCGAGTGGTACACAAAGATATCCTATTTATTAGTATTCTATACTGAGCTTAGCACTAGTTTCCTCTCCGAAGAAGTAAAGTGTAAGACGGCACATATAGCGTTCAACATGTGTTTTCGCCCTGCATCATCGGTCGACATGAGGTAAGCCAACACCACGTTCTTGAGGTACTCTAGATTGGCACCTTCGCGAGACTGGATACGACGCAACCTGAAAATTGTGTTATGTCTTTCACTAACTATGAATTGTATACAAATCCTACGAGAATAATTGGTTAAAGTTACAGTGCGGAACGTGAATGACGGTTCAAGTTAGTTTTTTGTTTAGGAATTGTTGCTAAGGAAGAAGAAAGCACTAAATGCAGTTAAGAAGTGCCTTTAAGAGGTGGATAAAGGCACAATAACTATGTGTATTATTGTATTACGCACTCTCTAAATTACTCTGTAAGTATATTGTAGGAACTGCTAAAAATGGCAAAAAATAGGTTTAAATTTGTTTTTTTTTTCAAATGCCCTTCTGGAACACAATAAAGTTTGTATAGTGTAAACAGTGACAATCTTTGGATGAAGTAGGATTTCCGAACATGCCAAAAAAACTCGCAAGATGTCGCTTTTTACAATAAATTAGTAAATTAAAAGTAGTTTTACTAATAAAAATCCCCTCCAAGTTTGATTAACTCGGTGATGTTATATTATAAGCAAAGGTCGTTCATACACAGATCTTTTATTATACGACACAATATTTTTAGTCACTCGAGACATCATTGTTCCAGGTTGTTAGTGACTATGGTTTGCTTTTTACTTGCTGAGAATCATAAAAATTATAAATCGACTTTTAATTACTCAAAATTTTAAAGCAATTTGCTACTACATTATTATTAGTTGTTAGTGCACATAATAGCTTAGAAACATTTTTAAAAATAGGTCGCGAAACTGCAACTCCAGCATTTCGTGCTGCTGACAAGGTTCAACCTTCATCGTGTATACTCAAAGTAAGAAATAATGTTTAAATATATACCTATCGATTTCTTCCTTCAGCGTCCTAATGACCTCTTTGAACCGCTCCTTTTCTATGGTGGCCTCCCGCTGACATTCACGAAACTGTCCCTCAAGTTGGTGTTTTTCCTTCCTCAGCTGCGTGATGTCCAGGTCTTTGCGGGCTACCTCGTGCGCATAGTGAAGCATATGGGGTAAGGCGCTTTTTTCTTGCTGCTACAATTATTTACAAATTAAAGCATTAATAATTGATACGAACGGGATATATATTAGTAAAGCTTATTTGACAATTATTTTAACTACGGCCCAGCGTTTCGGATGCTCTTTTTTTGCACCACGTGGCAAGTTAATTCACAGTCATATTCATAGTCCAGATCAGATCAGGAATCCGTAGTCAAAATCATATTAAAATAAGTTAACTAATATATTTCACATTTAAAACCGTTGAAAATGATTTATTTCAATATGTACTATTTGCGTAAACTATATAATATCATTCGTTTATGAGTCAAATTATAAGTACGTACGTTCACAAGGTGTCCATCTTTCCAGCTTTCTTCGGAGCTAACCTTCCTGGACCTATCATTTCTCGAACGTATCAAGTTGTCTGTCTCCTCCAACAGAGTGGAGTATCGCTCGCGTTGTGTCTGAACGTGTTTCTCCAAACTCTGAATCCGGTTCCGAAGGTCTGTTACCACTTCCGTGTGATAATCCTCCTCGCTTTTCAATTTCTGTAAAACAAATAAATCAGTTTCAGTCAAAGGATCTGCTAACTCTGAGAGATCCTATTCTACCAACTGGCAGCACACAACATTGTTATACTGTTAAGATTACATTATGTTTTATTATCACATCTATACTAATGTATAAAGCTGAAGAGTTTGTTTGTTTGAACGTGCAAATCTCAGGAACTACTGGTTCGAAATGAAAAAATTTATTTAGAGGTTTTGTTTAGACCATTTATCGAGGAAGGTTTTAAAACGCGCGCTGTGACTAAAGCGGAAACAGCAGAAAATGTGGAAAAATCGGCGTACGCTGCGAACTTGGTTCAAAATATCCAACAAAGATATATCAAAGAATGATTCCTCTTTAAATTGTCTAAAAAATATCCGAGTCAATATATCTATATATATAAAAATTAATTGCTGTTCGTTAGTCTCGCTAAAACTCGAGAACGGCTGAAAGAATTTATCTTATCTTAGTTCAAGACTAATGTTCGTGGTAGTTCCGTGGAGGTCCCACGGAAGGTTTAAAAGGTGATAAAAAGGGAAATCTCGCGACTATAATATTTGGCATTCGATTGATTACCAACTATATGATTATCAATGATATGTCAATTATATGTTTTTATATGGATAATCGAAGTAAATATTTTGTCTTTATTACATATAAATCATTCAAGCATAAAAAATGTCAAGTAACCACAAAAAATTGCCAAAAGATAAAAAAAAAGAAAATTTTAAACAAAAAAGCAAAAAAACTTGGGCACGTTGAGAAGAAAACAAATTTAAAAAAAATATAAAAAGATTTCCCGTACCGGGAATCGAACCCGAGCCTCCTGGGTGAAAGCCAGGTATCCTAGCCACTAGACCATACGGGATATATACATTGGAACAAAGTTTAAAAATGTAATCGTTTCCTACTCATGGTAAACAAAATATTATCGTGAAACTTACTTCTTCTTGTATTTTCAAAGTATCAACCTTATCATGTTGTTCTTGTTCCAACATCAGCTTGTACGTTTCAACTTTATCGTTCAAAACTGCTATCTCACTCTTGAGATTTGCTATCTCTGTCTCCTTATCCCCTCCATCACTGCTTTTCACAATCTTTTTATAACTCTCAAATTCCTTCCACAAAACGTCATAATCTTTCTTACACTTGGAATGCACGTGATCAAATGACTCTATGTTGAAAACGGTCGTCAAATCTATGGGATTTCCCAGTTTTTCGTTCTCTGCTATTAGTTCCTTTTTCAGAATGTGAACTTTGTCTATAAGTGTCTGTAGGTATTCGGTGTCTGCTAATTTTTCGTTGTCTGTTTCGCTTTTTGGGCAATCATCTGCTAAAGTAAGAAAATAAAATCATTTAAAATTAACATCATCAAAAAACAGATGTGTTGCAGTAGTTTTAACGGTGAGCAGTACGACAATGCGTTGTATATATTTTTGAATAAAATATTCAATATAAATTTTTTAAGTACATATTTTTTATATATCTGTTTTTTTAGTAAGCTACTATGCGATACACTATGCGCGATATACACTAATTAATAGAATTGATGGAAAGAAAATCATTTAAATAGAACACTTAACAGTTTAAAACGTGAAATATACGTTAACTTTTATAAACTTATTTTTTAAGACCGCAGCTGCTGCAAGGTGGGGCATGGGGTGCACAAAATTTCCTTGTCCGTTTCAGTGATCGGTTTTATTTACAGCTTGAGTCCCCGGTTATTTGAACCCAGGATCTAAAGCAATGTTACACGTTTAACCATTAAGCCACAAAGGCGGTTAACCGTCGGATCGTAGTTAAAATAAATTAAAAATAATTTAAATAAATTTCACGTTTTAAACGGTCAAAAGTGTTCGTTAAAATGTGTACTACTCGCGTAAACTACGGTAAATGCTGATACACGTGATCATTTAAATCAGTTCAATTTAGAACAAATAAAAATATGTGAGCAAATATATTTCTCGTTTTAAAGCGTTAAACGTGTTTTATTTAAATGAACTTGATCGAGAGTACAATCTCACCATCAATACGGCTGGATATTTTGTCTAGTATCCTGCCATTAAGTGAATCGCGTAGTTGTTGAATCGTCTGCTGATCACGACGTCTTTGAAGGTCGTATTCGCCAATCGTCTGTGATAATTCCGCGAGTTTTCCTTCCAGCAGCGCGACCCTTTCCTCTTGACGGGCGCAGATCTTTCTAGCTGATTCTTCTGCACGCTTAACTTTTATTTGTTCCTGTAAGAATAGATAGACGGAACAGAATTATTATTTGATGGCAAGGGCTCTCATCGGGCAAGCAATACTAGTCATTAATTTATAATTTAATATTGTAAACCAAAAGGTTGAATTTATTGTAATGTAGCTACACTATACATTATTATTTCATGATAATACCTCTCTTATAGCGACAGAATGCGATTGCTCTAGCAGTGTCAACTTCTGCTGCAAACGAACTAGCAGCGCTGGCGTTTCTACAGTTCTCGCTTCTGCCCGCTGCAGGCGACGCTGAGACGCCTCCAGAGAGCTGCTCAAGTCACGAACTCGTTTCTCAAGCTCCACTTGAGAGGCTAAATAAAATAGTAATATAAGCACATTTTTAACCGACTTCAAAAACAGGTAGTTACATATACATGATTTATTTTGTTTACTCGTATCTTTGTCGTTTATAAATCGATTGTGATGATTCTTTTTTGTTGGAAAGATATTAAGATTTTATTTAACACTAAAATTGTATGAACTAGTACGTTTATAAGTAATTTTTTTTTCAATACTTTATAGTGCTAAAATTTAATATTAGATTGGAGTACATCTTGATTAAGGAGACGGAAGACAGACGAAGGAAATCCTTAACGATTTACAGCAGCTACTTTGAGTAAGTATGTTAATCTATCTAGGTCAAAAAAGTGCTGTGGTGAATGGGACCAAGACAGGCAGTTTCTACAAAGTAGCCTTTAATACATTTTAATATCTTCAATGAATGTCCACCATTAAAAGCCATAATTATACAATAAAAAATATACAAATACATTAAAACTTACATTTTGAAGCAAAAAGTATTATTTTGATCTTACCTTGAGCCTCATTTGTATGCACAACTTTGTCTTCTAATTTTTCCTTATATTTCCTTTCTTCATTAAATCTCAGATGAAGCTCTCTGAAAACAATAAATGAATATTAAACAGAACAGTTAAATGGTATTCTTTAAACATAAAAAAAAAAAAAAAACCTTCACACTTTCTTTTTATTGGTGTGTTACAGGAACAAAACAATAAATAGGAGAAACTGAAACATATATAGATATAGACTATATTTTTTATGATATCTTGATTCTTACTTCAACATAGCTGCATGGTCTGCTCGCTCCTTCTCTCGTTCTTGTATCTCATATGATATTTTCGCCTTTAGATTATTTACTTCAGCCTGATGTTGTTGCACCATTATCTTACTTTCTTCCCTCATAGATGATATCATGCTTTCATACTGAAATTTATCATTAAATGTAGAATTTAAATTAAATTTCATTTCTACATATAACAGAGAGTCTGTTATATGTAGAAATGAAATGTTTAGTTTAATTGTATGTATATCAATATATACTCTACACTTATTTTATAGATGAAAAAAAATATATTTGTGTGTGTAAGTTTATATTTATTTTAAATTAATTTAAAAATAAAAATCTACTCTCATCCCAAGGTTTTGCTATAAAAGATTGTGAAGCTTGACTTAGGAACAAGGGTGAAAAAGTTCTGTACCACGGAGGAAGCAATTGAGGATAAAACAAAATGGATCTTTTGACATAGTGTTGAATATCACACTTTTAATTATAAGTTAAAGATTTCTGTTTCTTTTGTTTCCTTTAATTATTTTTTAGTTTCAAATTACAATTACTGAAAACATATAAAGTTGTTTCCACTGAACAGCAGTATTTCTTTATATGTTATATTGTTTAGAATTTTTACACTAAATAAAGTAAACATTGTTAACCTTTTCCCTTGTGACTTTTTTATCAGCTTGAAACGCTTCTTCCATTCTAGACTTCTCAGCTGTGAGAGTTGATAGAGACAAAGTTAGTGCTGCAACTGAATTGTCTGAAGTAGCAGCTGAAAATTGATATTTACTATTTAAACTTTCTATTTAATAAATAAAACAAGTTATTATGAGACCAGACGGGACTTGAAGAGTTTAAAAGAATCTATAATATGAAAACTAAGTGATAAGAACTCTATATTAGAAATAGACTATAATTCAACCACATAAAATATCAATCTATAATTTAAATACAAATTTAAAATAAGTAAAAAAATATGTTTTTTTTACCATTTTACTTAGGTGTTCTCAAACCAAATACAAAAACTGAACCCACCTTCATTATTATCAGCTTTATTTAAAGCTTTCAAACTGATCTCCAGGGCTTCCTTCTCCTTAGACAGACCTTTGTAAGCAGCAACAACGTCTAATCATAAGAAATAATAACATATGGTGTTAGTAAGGAGAATAGAGTACATACTCTCCAAAAACTCATAACTTTAGCATGCGTGTCCTCGTAGTTTTGAACATACCTCTAAAACGAGCCTCATATCGCTTTATTTGGTCTGCTTGTTTTGTAATAGTTGAAATTAATTCCTGCTTTGATAGTGACTCCATTGCCCGTAAAGTTAAATATTACTGCGATTTTTTAGCTTAATCAGTCATCGAGAGTAAACAAACAATCAGTATACGTTAAACTTTAAAGTGATAACAGGAAATAAGTTCTTAAGGAGGTAATTAAATAGATTTGTAACAAAAATGTTTTAAATTCTTATAAGGATGTAAACAACACGATTCAATATGTTAACATCATAGTATATGTCAAGTGTCAACGTCAGTGCTGGCTTGGTTGTTCGGGCCATAGAGTAGGATAAGGTTCAGTCTTGGCTGTTAAATGCGCTGTTTAGGGCAAAAGTTCTTTGCAGGGTGCGGTCTCAATAGAACTACTAAAGAACTAGCAGAATCCGACGTTTGTTCAAGAAGTGGTCTATTAAACTTGACGGTACCTAGAAGCATAACCATGATACTTGAATCGTTCAGAGGGTTAACTATTCTACTACTACTAGTTGTCGAGCGAATATCCGCTATATGAAGTCACCCCATAAACAGCCATAGAGCAAATTTTTTTTAATAATATTTAATGGCCCCGTAGAGCAGAAGCTAGTTTACAGATAATAATTATTGATGAGTCATGTCTAATGTAATGATAATAGATTTTGTTTTAATTATCTTTACGTATGTATCAAGGAATCGAGTGTGATTAGAAAAAATATCAATTCAAATAAAACAACTATATTATTAATTAGAATTGTCGTTCTACAGTCATTAGTAGTAGAATAGTAGGTACCTACCATCGATCAATATAGTACATAATCTTAAGTACTTAGGCTTAAAACCTCACACTTTACTTATCGCTCATTGCAAGATTTGTCCCAAAAGTATATATAAAAAAGTCGATGTCCATGATTCGGTATTAATATCGTATGAGCTTTACTTATCAAGAAAATAGCAATCGCGTGGATTCGTGAGACTGCTAAGATATAAAACTAATAATATATGTAGCTGGACTTAAGACTTGTTAAATATATTATCAGTATATTAAAACATTGATTTTAATTCCTTATTTATAAAATACATTTTTTGACACGATAATAATAATCGTCATTTGAATGTAGAAAACGCCTTTGCTATATACTTAATAAAGAAAGGTAACTCAAAACAATCTCTCATAATAATTTTTAACATTTTATAGTTAAAAATGTCCCTGCGCACCAGTGCCCTTCGAGCCCCACGAATATCACTCGGGGAAACGGCCATGAGACAACAAATCTGGCACATTGATCTTCCCCGATGTGAACGCAATGTAGCAAGTTCATTGAACCCATGGGGTGACTTTCACCCCTCGTCGATCTTCCTTTAATAAAATTGGACCACCGAATATCATGTGTTATTGCCCCTTTAATTTTTTTCAACTGCACCAACAATTTTTTTACAACTTCGAGTTCTCTAACTGAACACGTGAAATACTGGAACGGATGAAAATAAAACAACATTTAAATACATTATTGCTAATGTCAATATTTAATGTCTATATCAATATTAATTTCTACATCAGATTATATTCGTTGACATTTCAATAATTAAGTAAGCCAATTAAAACCAACGCATTACATACCGACGATTTGTACTGTTACTTATTCTAGCTAACCTAGGCCAAACCTTACAGTACCCAAACCTGCCCGGAAACGAATCGACTAAAAAGTTTAAATATAGGTACTTAGAATAAATGGAGGCCTAATCCAATTAAACACAAAATACTAAATCAGAACGAACATATAATTTGGACAGGTCACAGGCTTCGGTCGGAGTCATCGACCGTCGTTTGCTGAGCGTTCGCGAGAGCGAGTCTTGGAATTCATTAATTATTCACGGATTCGTTTCATCTCACACATTGAGGTAGGTACCTGGCGATGTCACATCGGCGACCTGCTTAAAATTATAGGTGGGTTCATCAGATAATTTCGGGTTTACGATATAAGCTCAAAGCTGAACAAGATACAACAGTTATTGGACATATAAACCCCAGTAAAGGCCTTAGTACTTTCATTGAGAAAAATTACAGCAATAACTGTACTCATTACACGTAGTATAGATACTCCCCCCAAAAGTTTACATCGCTATCGTCTAAATAAGTAACTATCGTAATATTTCCGAAATCGAATCTAAGACTCGCTCATTATGGTGACTATATTTTACATTTGTAAAAGAGAAACCTGTCTTCAGATCTTATTGCTTTTAAATTCGTTTAAACTTATAGATATTAAACATAGCCTCATTGCAGTCTTACATGTCTTTAGGGGACAGGCTTCTTTCATACGTTAAGAGTTAATGTGAAGTTATATGTACCAGCATAGCATTATTCCTCTGAATTAACAGAAGAAACAATTTCGAATGTAATGTTATGATATATAACGTAGAAAATTATACTGAAATGAATATTTCAGGTTTGTACAGAATTGAGTACAGACTAAGCTTTTAGTGTTAAATATTTTGTTGTACCGTACCATTCAGGTTTCTTGTACGGCGAAACGAAAGCGCGAATATTGACCCAAAAAATTCAAAACAGCGTTGTAAATATTACCTACATGGGCACAATTATTACATATCCTGTGACTAGTTAATACACCATTCGTTTCTGCTTGGGTATTATTTTTAAATTAAACTAACATTAAACAAACACCACACAAAGGTAATAATTTATCCTGAAATCCTAACTAAAATTTAAATAATAGAACACAGTTTTAAGATTAAATTCTTAAATATAGATAGGTACTTAAAGATTAACCATTGCGCATAATAACTGACTAGTTTCGTGTAATTAAGTACTTTAAATAAATAATAACCTTTAATAATAATCAAACTTTATCCTTAATAGTATAAGAACTTAAAAAAATCTAAGTTCAAATGCATTTTACAAGCCCCATTAGTTAAGTTATTGAGATAATGAGAACAGCTCCAGTTTCACTTATATTAATGAACCATATAATACATGGCAGTTGCTTCACGATATTACGAATATTTTTATAAAAGGGTGTTTTTACTTGTGTCATGGTTTATTAATATAAGATTTTATATTATGATATGCGTCCATATCTACCTATAACTTTTCTAAAAAGTGAAAGATCGCCTACTCACATTTAGTCTGGATTAAATACAGTCACAATTTTATAAACATTGAAAAGGTGAGTAATTGTTGAGAACTAATTTCAAACTTACACTTACTAGATATACTATTATGAAAAGAAATCTATGATATATCTATCAACTAGAATAAATTATTAATTATACATTACTTAAATGTAATAATAAATAGTGATTATACAAATTAATAAGAGAGTCAATATCATATGGATAATTTATACGAATTTAGAGCCGACATAACAGCTCTGGTTCTAAACAATCAATTACTTGAATACACAATGTATTGCTAATCAGTTAAATCTGCAGCATAGTTGCCAATTACTTTCTCTTATAGATTTAACTTATATGAAAGTCCAATAAAATGTTGATCAATGAATAACTTTAGGTACGCAATATTTGATTTTCAATTGTCATGATTTTATTCATAATTTTGTCACAATCTAGCCGAGAACAAATTTGAACATTGAAATGAAATGACAAAATATTACTAGTTAAGTATACTTATAAACATTTTTTAATTAGTCCATTATCTAATGATTTTGTGCACGAGTCAATCTCAAGACTACAATAAATACTTTTTAATTATTTATTTAGTTACCTATAAACGGACAATTCCTACTGTTATAAAAAAGTTATCATGGAAGATATTTTGCTAGAAACAATTCAGGTAAATTTTATCTAGCATTCTGTCATCTTTGGTAGGGTTCATGTAATTTAGATACATAATTATATTACAATTCTATGATTTATTTTATATATTGCCGTACTTTGAATATAAATAAACATATAATTGCACATTTTTATATATAGCTCTTGCTTCTGTATACGTTTACTTATAGTAAATTTTAATATTGCACTGTCAATTAATAGGTCTGTAAAAATAGAAAATATATTGCTTATTCTTTCGCCACATTGTCATAAAAATCTTGGTAAATAGAAACCTTAATTTACATGTAAATAGGTTGATCTGTCCATGGTGTCTGGTTTAGGAATGAGTAGTTTCAGATTTGCTTAAAACGACAATTGTGTTTTTCAAAAGTTTGATGTTATTATGTGGTTCAACTTTCTTGGGAAGATAGGGGCCTATGACTTAGTCGTATGACATCTTTTATAAAAACCATATTACTTTAGAAGCCGTCAAGAAATTACTTTTCTTGAAAATTGTTGTTGTACGAGATGTACTGTGATGATTGGTGGTTTGTACATGTTGCAAACGCGGGAAAACTGTCTTGTCACGATTTGTTTCTTAATGCATAAATACTAAAGTGGATGAATACAACAAACCATGACAGTTATGATCAACATTTTTGCATTAGCTACAATTTATTGACTAGGTTTTGGAAACACTTAAGATTTACTCTTGTTCGTTTTGAAGCTGACCTGCAGTACTTGACCATTATGTGAGTAGCCATTTAATGACTGTATAGCCACAACGGCCTCATCATAATTTGTCATGGTTACAAAACCATAGCCTTTGCATTTGTTGGTAGCTGGATCTCTGATGATTTTAACACTCTGTACTGCACCAAAGGGACCAAATAATTGCCAAAGGATGCTCTCTTCAGTGTCAGCGCCAATGTTGTAAACAAAAATACACCATCCTGATCCACCTAAAGCATTACCTTGTATAAGAGGATCAGCGAGTGGTGAGTATCTTTGAAGACCTTTATTTATAGCTAATAGAGCCTTACCAGCTGGTCCTATAAAGCGACGAGCAGATGCCGGAGCCAAGTATGCTGCCAAAGGAGCTAAAGCTTTGTTTTGATTGCTGGGGTTGTTTGCACACTTAACTGTCATAGGCCCTGTACCCCCCGGAGGAACTGTTCCATTGAGCTCACGGATAGCTGCCTCTGCTTCACATCTCTGGTCGTAGCGAATAAAGGCTACACCTCTGGATGGTCCTTGCAAACCCTGGTCTTCTAAACCACCTTGCATCAAGTGCCCTACGTTCACATTCTCATGAAGAATGCGAGAGCTGATGATAGAGCCGTAAGGACTGAAGAGTTTCTCTAATTCTTGTTGCGTCATGTGTTTGGGCAGGCCTGATACATAGAGGTTGGCTCCTTTAATTGCATCTGAGCTGGGACGGGCATAAGACACTTTAATTATCTTATTTTGTAAGCGCAGTCCGTTCAGAGTGTTAACTGCCTTCTCGGCATCCTCAGCTTTGTGATAGTTGACAAATGCATAGCCTAAACTCTGACCATTAAGTATATGGTCCGGAAATACCGTCACTTTGTCTCTGATCAATTTACAACTTTCCACTTCACCCACACTAGAGAACAATGATCTTATCTCTTCCTGAGTCATTGTTTGTGGCAAGTAATTCACTATTAAGTTGGTTTTAGATTCGTTGTGGCATGGTTGTAATTTACTACCATTTTGTGTGGGTTGATTCGAGTTTACCGTGTCCATTGAGTTGGCCATCATTTTCACAGATTTGTTTACACCAAGAACGAAAACCTTCACTAATTTAAGCTAAAGCGTCAAATGTTTAAATCGATTTCGAACAAGAACATAGACTGATAGTTCGAGATATTAACAGGAGCTCGCGTTGGTTGAAAGCATATGCATGGAAAGAAAATCAATAAGATGCTGTCCACTCTCGTAGTTATCCTGTTGGTGGATCAACTAAGTCCGATCCGTTGAATCAGATTGTAAGCAGAAACACAAATTAACTAGAGTTTATTAAATCTTTTAGGATACTAACGCAAAGTGAAAAGGAAATCAACCAAAAATCTATGCAACTTGCGACCTATTCTCGTAATTTCATTTCTTTCACTTCACTTTCTTTTTTAAAATGTTGCCATTTTCGAATAGTAACTATTAAGAAATTTCCCCACTACCTTATATTCTAATCGCGTTTAAAGAAAATAAAAGCTTTTTCGTAAAATAATTATATATTTAATATTTGGCAATTTATATTTTTTTTAATATTACGATTTATCCCATACATGCTTGGATAATTATTTAAGAAGTTTTCATACATATAATGAAATGATTATATAAATACCGTACCATTAATAAAATATTTACTCGTATTTTCTTATTTTCTGTATTATTTATTAACATAATAAATTCTATGATTTCTTTAATCATTACATTCATAGTTTATATTACATAAAACTTTTTTGGCAAACTTTTGCTTCACACTTTAACGAAATAATGAAATGACAACACTGTGCCTAGTGCTGCCAACGAAAAGAAACATACAAAAACTACCAACATTACACCAAAGTAGTTCGTTCAGAAATGTTTACTTTATAGAAGTAATGTAAATGAATTTAAAATAATCTACTAATTTATATTAAATAATATATATTACTCAAATTATAACATTATTAGAAAATTTATTTGAAAAATATATCATTATGGTCCTTACTTTGCAGTCTGTGGATACAGCATTTTGTGTATTGATGTCATGTTACTAAATTTCTCTGAAAAAAAAAACCTAAAATCTAGAACGTATGAATTCCCTACATCTACCGCTTTGGTGACTAAAACAGATATGATTAATTAAAATTATCTTAAAATGACTGCTCTATGGCAGGTCCAATCCTTTAGTTTCTATAACTTTAGTTAATAGTAATTAAAGGTGTAAAAAACGTCGATAGACATTTGTCGATCACAATATCAAAGAATCTATGAATAACTATAGTCTTTCCATCGCTATATCACAGTAACTTTTTACATTTAAATCAAAAATATGCATTCCAAAAAATACCGTTATTATCCTTAAACAAATAAATATCATGTTTTTGAATTATTTAAATTAACTATTCCGTTCAGTAGATTTTACAAAATAAAAAAACAAATTTAAAATATGTATTAGGGAAAAAAAAAGAAAAAAAAAGGGGAAAAAGGGGGGGGGGGGGGGGGGGGGAAGGAACTAAGACTGTTTGGAGCCTTACAAAATGTATAAGGTTTTGTAACAGATATTTTATATTCAAAATAAAGGTAAAACGAAGCAAGTTTCAGACCATTAAAGATTATTACACCAGATCATTCGTTCCAGCGTAATTTTTTATCGCTATCATTTGCGTCTGAGCAGCAGATCATCTCTCAATAACTTGGATTAGTAAAACAGACATTGTAATGTGTCTGGACCAGCTAAGTAAGTTATTATAATTATGTTATTTCTATGACTTTTTCAATTAATTTTATAAGTGTTCAGATCGGCTATTCCATTCATTAGATAATATTTTGAATTTTAAAATTTACATTTAAAGAAAATGAGTTTCCGGGTCTTTTCCACCGTGGTCTAACCAGGAATTTCAATTAGGCTAACCTCGCCAAACCAGTGTTAAGACGGAACGACAGAACTGACAGAACAAAAGAAATGTGCGTCCATGCAAATAGTGATAAACATAACACTCGTTAACAGTAAAAAAAACAACTAAATGTAATATAAAGGTCTCTTTCCAAGAGAAAGAGATCCTGAATTCTTAATTAAAAAAAAAAAATTAGGCAAACCAACGTTTTAGTTGAAAGTGTCAATGGTATACTAACATTTACAGTACCCTCATATAAAAATAATAAATACCTACGTTTTTCAATTAGTCCGTATTGTCATATATGTCTTACCATAGTCACCATTCAAAGACAATGGGTCAAAAAATGCTTTAATATTTTAAATGAGAGACACAATTGTGCCGGATACGCTTGAATCAGTGCCCCCCGTGATAACGCACTATAATAATATTATACAGGATCCTGAGTCATTCAGTCTGGTGTTACCCAAGTCATAAGCTTTGGCAAGTGACTGGTACATCGTAATTAATTTTAGCTGTTTTGGGTGCAAAGTGAGAGCTTGCGTCATGCGTTACACATTCATTAAAAAAATATCGATTCAATAAAAATTTAACAATCGATATTTTTTGTAAAAGGGAAAAATATTTACCTTGAGTGAAAGGGCGTACATAAATTATCTTTGTGGGTTTCCAACGCGTACGGTGCAAAATGATTCAAGATAACTTAAGAAAAATATTAAGGTGTCTATAGTTTACGCGAGTAGTACACATTTAAATAAAACACTTTAACGGTTTAAAACGCGATATATTGGCCGTGGTCTCCCCGTGACCACGGCTGCTGCAAAAGCATCCGAAACGTCGGGCCGAAGTTAAAAATCATTTTCAAATAAGTTTAACTAATATATCGCGTTTTAAACCGTTAAAGTGTTTTATTTAAATATTAAGGTGTTCATATATTAATATACTTTAATACTTCCAGAGATAAATAAATCCGTTGTTTCTGTGATTAGAGGTTTTAAGCGTGTGACTTGTACCACAGGCGATAGTTAGTACGAGCGCACCGGGTCGATTTCAGTGCTTTGGGTGCAGGCGCACTCACGTCCGCTTGTGAAAGAGGCAGATTCTATTAGTTATTGAGTAAATGAAACGAACGTATATAGGTTACAGGTCAAGAGGTTTTGTTTTCTTGCAAATTCAATGTTAAAGTACACATATACTTTTTATGACAGGAGGACAGACGAGCACTGGGAAGGTGAAACACCACAGCCATGTAATATCTAAATAACATACGCTATACCTATACCTACTGAAGCCGAAACGAGCTTTCGACTTTTTCATTTGTTAATGGCCACATATTCGAGACGAAAAATTATAAATTGGTTTTTGGTGCAATCGAACCCACGACCCGTAGATTAGTAGCAATACTTTGCTACCATTAAACTAACCGGCCTGTCGATAAATTAATTCCCTTAATTAGGTATATCGTACAAGAATGGACATAACGCGACCTACCTTAATACAGTTAATATTACTACAGAGCAAGTGGAAGTAATAAATAATAATTGATACCTACTGATAATAATTGATTTAAAGTTATATTGCGATAATCTTGAAAGCTTTTAACTCAATAAGATGGTATATAGGTATGTGCTTAGCTAATTTTTACAAATTGAATTTTAAAAATAATATAATATTCGGTTTTCTTTATTCTTATTCGGATTTTACTGTAGTTATGTGAGAAGTACACATTTAAATAAAAGACGTAACCGTTTAAAAAGAGTAATATATTAACAATAGCTTAGTTGTAAATTTTAACTCGACCATGGATAGTTCAAACGAGTAGAACACTATAAATAAAACATGTTGAAACGCGAAATATATCAGTATTATTTATTTTTATTGCGACCCTACGTTTTCATTCTTTTCAGCGGCATAAGATTCCGGTTACAAATTTGTAAATTCAATTCTTACTTCTAAAATCAAAATTATTTGAATAAACTTCAATGGGCTGTAGTTTTTTTTTAGTTTTATATAGACAGCCAGTTATAACGAGAAAATGTATACAGTAAAAGAGTATATAATCAATGAGTATATAATTCATTAGTTTTTTTTGTAGTTGGCATTATTTTCTGTTATAGTGTGTGAAATCCCGTTTCCCCCTCGTGGTGGCCTCGCATGGGCGAACATATTTCTGTGTCCGTTTCACTGATCCGTTCGTGAACAGGCAAGTAGTTGATCAAACTTCTGTGCCCTGCCCGACCGATATATTACTTTGCTTTCCTGGGATCCTTACCCAGAATCTCTCGCGCCTAACGCATTGCTAACCACTACTTCAGAGGCCGTCTGTAGTAGGTATATATAATAATATTTTATTAGTCGTGAGGATTTTTATATAATATATAAATAGGTATTACTTTACTAGTATTAAATGAGTAAAAATATTAAATACTGTCTATAGTTTACGCGAGTAGTACACATTTAAATAAAACACTTTAACGGTTTAAAACGCGATATATTAGTTAAACTTATTTGAAAATGATTTTAAACTTCGGCCCGACGTTTCGGATGCTTTGCAGCAGCCGTGGTCACGAGGAGACCTCCCCGTGACCACGGCGCGTTTTAAACCGTTAAAGTGTTTTATTTAAATGAGTAAAAATATTGCTTTGCAATGCGTTAAGCAGGAGGGATAAATTGTTACAGTCTGACAGAGCACAAAAAACTGAGCATACGCACCTCTTTTTTTTTCAATGGTGAATTTTTCGAACACATAGAGGGAGGAACTGTTAGGCGCAAGCTAATAATAATAATAATAAGCTAAATACCTTTAAATAATCGATCAGTGAAACGGACAAGCCCCATGACCCGCAGGGGTAAATACTATGTTCACCATTCCATAAGAAGCCTTATATTACAATTGTTTATGTGCGTCATACTAAAGCTAGGACAAGAATGATATGAGTAAGACTCTAAATAATAATTCTGGTGTTTGTTTGGCTTCTGTATTAACATATTGTCATGGGCCTATGAAGGTTTTTATATTTATCTGTTGTCCTTCATTCTGAAACATAATTTGTAGTTCCACAGATTCAAACTTCTAAATAAACAGAACAAAAACTACACAGGTTATTTCACAAACAATTCACAAAATTATGTTGTACATAATGATAATTCTTAACATTA